CACTATTTTATGAATATATAAATAATACATACTTGTTTATGTATTAATTACATTTATTTATATTGATTGCACAATTTAACATTTTCATTAAAACTTTCATGATTTAATATATAAAAAATAATTCTTATTTACTATTTATATTTCTAATTATTAAATAAATATTTATCTTCAAGTTCATGAATAATGATATTAATTCCTTAATACTTAAATTTTTTTTTTACTAAGTTTTCTAAAACATTAAATTTTTTTGTAACAAATTACAAATAATAAAAATAAAAATCATAAATTTTTGATATAAGATATTGTAATTTTCGAATTCATACATAGATCAATAACCAAGATATAAAGAAATAAACAAATATAAAAAGTGATGGAAATATTTATGATTTACGATATCATATCATGGGCTTGAATATTTAATAATGTAAGTACAAAGTTACATTATATAGCGTTTAAAACTTTTCAAATTTTTACATAGATCTTGTTTTTTAAAGATATTTTTAAAATATCAAATTAAAAAATTGAATTTTTTCAAACGATTATCCTCCTTAAAATATGTCAGTGGATTAATGAGTTTATATTTTTTTCAAATGTATTATTTTATAAGAAAGAAAATATTTGAAGATTTTAATTATTCAAAAATCTAGTAAATAGCCTAATATAAAAAAAAATTATGACTGAATTGATAATTTGATCATTTCAAAATATCAAAGTGAAAGAATTTATATGTATTCTTTTTCGCAATTATGTTTATTAAACAGTTCTTTTCTATTTTTTAATATTATGTTTTATTTAATATTGTGCTTGCTTAATTTAACAAAATATAAAATATTATATAGTAAATATGAATAATGACTAATAATATAAAAATTAATCATTTCATTCTACACTCTATAACAAAAAAATTGGGAATAGTTTCTTAGAATAAATTTATAGTTTTAAATATTAGATACTATGAAAAAATGTAGAATATGACTGATTTGTTCTTTAGACAGTAAAATTTAGAAAAATCCTGCAATTTTTCTAATAATTATATTTTCTAACATCTTTATGTCTATCTAATTATAGAATTATCTATAAATTATGTTTAGATAAAAATATTTTTTCATAATTTTCTAAATGAGAAAATGTTTTGAACTCATGTGTGTTTATTGAACTTACATGTGTTTATCTAATGATTTTTAAGAATTATATGTATGAATTATATATATAATTTTTTTTATAATATTACTATTAAGAATATTTTTAATTTACAGTAAAAAACTACATAGAAAAAAATAAAATTAAATCTTTGTGATTCTGACAGTATTTTTGTTTATAAATATACACTGTGATAGAAAATATTTTTAAACAGTTTTTTTTCAACATTATTTATTGATTATTTATTGTTTTGATTGCAAAAACAAAAATTTATAAATATAATTACTGGAGAAATAATTAAAAATTATGTAATTTTGTTCATAAAAATTTGTTCATAAAAAATTTGTACAAGTTTTCAAAAGATTAATATTTGGAATTGGTATTTGAAAAGACTGTACATTACATCACTTTATTATTTAGTCTAATAAAAATTATATCAATATAATTTGTTAAATAATCAGAGTGTTCAGTGCAATTATATGTATATTAATATTAAATCAAAAAAAAAAAAAGGACATGTAAAATATATTCACATAAAAATATGTCTTTAAAGCAATCTTTATAATGTTATGAAAACTTTAAATGATTATAAATTCAGTCTACCAAAATATAAAAAATAAAAAAGGCTGATTTATATTATTCTTTAAGAAGGATAAAATCTTGCATAGTTTATTATTTTCATAAAAATAAAATATCATAATAATTATATAGCTAAAAAATAAATTTTTTTTTATTTATTTGTTATCAATATAAATATTATTTTTGATCTCAAAATTTAAGTTCTCATTCTTACTATTATAAAAATAAAAATGATATGTTATATTCTTTTTCAAAAAAGAAATAAAAAAATGTTTTCTTTTTTTTTATATTATTAAAAAATATGCAAAATGCATTTCTTTGATATTGAAATTAATTAGTTTTTTAATTTTTTATAATCAATAAAATTTTAAAATGAAAATAAATAATATAGCATAATATATGAAACAAAAATAAATTAAAAAAAATTATATTATTTAAATAAATTTATTTAAATAAAACCAAAATTTAATTTTCTATATCACTGCCATTTAATATAATTTAATTAATTAAATTATATTAACGATTTAAGTTTATAAAATTTGATTGATTAGATACATTATTATTTTTAAAATTATATGTCTCCATATAGACATGTTAAATATAAATGTCTAAATGAACAAAAAGTAATATGAATTATAAATATTAATAAATTGCATAGCAAAAATATTTATATAAAATATAAGTAAA